AATTATTACTCAACTTAAAATTTATTTCCTGGTGGTTTCCTTGACAAATCCTTTGCTTTACCAATATGAGAAGAAAAGAGTTTTGAAAGAAGGTGAATGCCTACATAGAACAAGATGCAGTATGCTTTGACATTGTTCTGCCTGCTGTCTCTCGGATCTTGTAATTTGTCACAACAAATTCTTTTGACAACCTTGGCAATAGACTGAAAACTTGGTAATATTGTTATTTTATTTGTATGAATCACCACACACACGGTATTAATGCTGCCCTTAGTTATCAATAAAATGAGGATTATTCCTCTCCAGGAAGCTACAAAATTTGAAACCAGGGACAAGACTCATATAGATCCTTTTCTCGAAAGCAGAAGCTAGCCAAGGATTGATTTATCTTTGTCAATTACATGTGAGGATCTGAATTGACCAAATTTTTCAGAAGTCAGAAATACATGAACTCCTGCAGTGCAGCTTTCATTTCTTTGGAAATGTACAATCAAATGCAAGATGAAGCTGTTACCTCCCTCCATCCACCCAGATTGCAGAATTCAACATTGAATGCCATAAGCCACACTTAATTTTCCTCTCATTGAGTCAGAAAGTGGATTCTATCCAGACTGAAGGATGGTAGCTATATAGTTTGAATTCCTATACTTAAAAATGTATAAAATATGAATTCTGAATGTTCCAGACCTTGCACCAGCCTGTGGGGACAAAAAAAAGTGATGTTAACACTGAATTGTTAACGCTAACGGGTAACTGTGAGACCTTGGCCACTTTCTCCTAAGGCCTCTTTACTTTCAGGTGGAGGGGATCTCTAGAAGGGTGCTCATATAATCTTAAGAATAAATTCTCTCATGTTCTTTGACTGAAGTTTTCTTTTTAATATTTGTTGTCTACAAGCCATTGAGGCAGGTACTTTATCAGAGACACTGCAGCCACATAATACCGTTCTGGAGAATATGGATTCCCTGACAGCATTATTCTGCCTGTCTCCTGGCTCTTAATTTGGAAGCATAACTAATAGTTCTTGGTCAGAGTGGAGACAGATATTAGTCTGCCTTCCTTTATCCTGTTTCTCTCTCTGTCTAGCTACTTGTGCACCAACTTCTTACCTTGTCTTTTATCAAAAAACAAAATCTCCATGCCTATCAACTCACTCATCTAGATACCTAATATTTCAATATACTCAGAATGGACATCTGCCCAAACTAAATAAGTTGAGTCTTTTTAAAGTTAAACGTTTCCATTTTGGAAGTTCTTGAATTAAATCTGGTCCTATTTCAGACTCTAGAAAATGCCTACTGCCCAGTGAACTGAAAGCTTCCCAATATTGGCTGCCAGCCATTGCCGTTGGGAACCCCTGAGGACTGAAGGCAGGACTGTCTTTAAACAGTGAGTCTAGGACCCAGCTAAACTCCCAACTCCTGCTCTATATTTCCATATAGTGTGAGTTATCCAAAAAACAACATGTTCCAACATTATTCAGATTATAAAATCTATCTTACTACTCTGTGGGCTGGTTGCTCTTTTCCTGTGTTCCTAAGAGAAGCCCATGTTTCATTCCTTCTCTCACCCTTCTCTTTCCTTCCCTTCCTTCCACCATACCTACTCTACGTTAACAAGGATCGTTCTATGCAGGGAGTGGAATGAGAAAGGGCATGATGTTATAGCAATAGAAAGATAATACATTAATATTTCCAAAGCAGGGTCCACAAAAACGTTAGTTGAAATCTTTCAAGTTGCAAAGAAGAGACAGACACACCCCAGGTAGCATCATCAGTCATTTTCAAATAGGAATTCTCTCCAGAATGACCTAAGGTGCTTTCTTAATCACACATTCAGCCTAGATATTTCTATATCGAAAAATCCTCATAGGAAGCTTTGATGTGGCCCATCTTAAATATCATTGTCCTAAGTAATCAGAGGTAGTTTTAAGTATTTGGCATCTCTTCCCTCGTGCTTGGCCCTATTGTGGTCTTTGTCTTTATCTTGCTGTCTCTCTTCCTCCCTGTCTTTTCCCCTCCCGCTGTCAGCCTCCCCATGGAAGGATCTGATTACTTGTTGCTTAATCATCATTATATGTTCAGGCATATAGCGATTGCATGAATGAATGGTCCCAAATAAAGCATCGTTGGCTCAGGTGTGAATCATTCTTGTGTTAACAATAAGTGAGGTTATTCAGATGAAGCACATGCTTTTTTCCAAAACAAAAACAAAAACAAAAAAACCCCAAAACACCATAATCCAGTTTTCTCAGAAGTCCATGATGTATTTGAAAAGTACTGTTGTAACTGAAAAGTCTTGTGATGTCTAGGGGAGAAGCTTAGGACATCCTTGTAAGTAACAAAAAAATATGGTACAATGGTACAAAATAGTTAACAAGTTCATGAGAGAGAACAGATGACTGCTATTGAGATTAATAGGCAGGAAGATAAATTCCATATTGGGAAGAAGAAAGGGAAAATCAAAACCTTTCTTCTCATTCTTTCCCTTCCTCTTAACTTTTTTCCCCTTTGATTTTGTTCCCAATTTTAAGAAAATTCGCTTTGTCAGTATCCTTACTCAGGTCTCATCTCTGCTTTCTCCTTCCTGGCCTCTTGCTCTCCGGGTGTCAATTCATTTTTCCCTAATTTAGCAGTGAGTCAATTTCTGGTTTCCTATTTATTATAATTAGTATTCTCAACACATATATTTCCACAAAATATTTGTAAGATAGATTTTGTCTTCAGTAGAAAAAGGAACAATTGCAGTCCATTGATGATTAAGAAGGATGTTATTTAATCTACAAAAATTTTCAAATATTACAAGCATAAATCTGAAAGAAAATATTCACAGATTAAAAATAAATGTTCTTCTCAGTTTTCTGAGAATTTAAATCTAAATTCTGATCATCTTATCTTGACATTGGAGGAGAGAAAGACATGACTTCTAGAAGTTACTAACAAATCCATTAAACCAAACATAACTTGAACTTTCTAATGGATTTTGGTTATATCAATGTGGCACTATCAATTCAGTCAAAAAGGTTTTTAATTCTAAGATTCAGTTTTTAATTCAGACTGGATACAGTTATCTCTAACTTTAAGTAGTAGCAGTAAACTTCTTTCCTTCAATAATTTCCATATTGCAGAAAAAAATAAACATTTAAAAATTTAACTTTTAAATAAAAATAAATTTCTCTTTGAGGCTTTCTGGATATGTCTAGTCTCCATAGAATTTAGTGCCAGAGTAGACTATTAAGACCAAATAGTGCAGTCATTTCATTTTATAATGTGGAAAACATAATTCAAAAGGACTGAAACCTTGCAAAGGCTTCACTTTACTTCTGGTTTTCTAACCTAGTTGCATGTTTGCATCACCTGGGGGTGCTTTTAAAATGAAGATGCCCAGGCCCTACTGCTAGAAATTTTAATTTAAATGATCTAGGGTGGGGTCTGGGACATAGGTATTTTTTAAAATCTCCCCGGATTATTCAAATAAGACTGAAAACCAATGCTCTAAACCCTGCCCCCTCATTAATTGGCTTCAGGAACTATTTCTTAGTGACCTAAAGTTTGTAGAGAGCAGAGGACTTGCACTGGGCTGGGTAGTTAAGGGGATGGGAAAATGAGTTAGACTCAGGTCTCACTCGTAAGCGAATTGAGTGAGGACTGGTTACAAATAGCCAAATGGCCAAAGCAGTGCTACTGGTAAGTGTTATTGGGAAAAACTCTTCTAGATACCGTTTGAATTTTAAATCAGCATATCATTTACACTCACATACACTCACGCTCACACTCTTCTGGGATTTTGAATGAGATTTCATTGAATCCATAAATCAGTTTGGGGAAAATTTACACCTTCACGATACTGAATCTTCCAACCTGAACATGATATTCCCCGCCAATTTAATTCTCTCAAGAATGTTTTGTAATTTTCAATATAGATGTTTTATACATCATTTGCTAGATTTACTCATATTTGATTTTTTTTTGCTATTTTAAGTTATACTGCTTTAAATTTTATTTTCTATTGTTTGATGCTGGTATATAGAAATACAGTTGATTTTGTTTTTTTTTTTGAAATGATTGCCATTTTACCATGGCCCAGTTTGCTTTTTTTTTTATTTCAGCATGTTATGGGGGTACAGATGATTTTTGTATATTGATCTTATGTACATTGACTTTGCTCAGTTCACTTATTAATTTTAATACTCTGAATTTTTTCCATGTTTTACGTGCACAGTCATGTTATTTGCTAATTGTGATGGTATTCTTTCTTTCTATACAATCCGTATGACTTTTTTTTTTTATTTTATTGTACTGGCCCAGTGCTCCAGTTCAGTGTTAAATAGAAATGGTAATGGCAGGACACCCTTGACTCATTCTTGATCTCTAGGGCAAACAATTCTAATAAGTCATCCTTAAATGTGATACTTATTATGGACTTCTGAAGATAATCTTTCTCAGAATAAGGTTTTGTTTTTGTCTTCCATGAATTGATATTGAATCTTATCAAATGATGTAGCTATTGAGATAATTATATGATTTCTGAATATCTTTTATATCTAAAATAGTCTTTTCAGCATCATGATGTTGTAAAGATAAGGTATGCAACACTGCATAGTACATATAAGACAATTTGGGGTCTTTGTCTAGCTTTATCACTGTTTTTTAATTGTATCTAAAATGTTCTTAAAATTTTAGTTCTGATGAAATATACAACAAACTATGTGTCTCTGTTTCATAGAAGGTTTTAACAGCTAAGTTCTCGTGTTGGTATTCCAACTGAGATGTATATTTTTTCCTTTGTAGGGAAGCAGGCTGCCTTAGATCCATTCATATTGCGGAACCTTCTGCCAAACTCAACTGACAAGTATTACACTTACAATGGCTCATTGACATCTCCTCCCTGCACAGACACCGTTAACTGGATTGTTTTTAAAGATACAGTTAGCATTTCTGAAAGCCAGGTAATCTTTGAAATTCAAGCAAACAAAGTAATTCAAAGCAATTTAAAAATAATTATTTTCTAGCTTTGCAATAGAAAATCTGTTTTAAAGCATTTACTGATGCCTTTGAAGAAGATATGTTAAATTATTTGGTCTTCTTTCCAGTTGGCTGTTTTTTGTGAAGTTCTAACAATGCAACAGTCTGGTTATGTCATGTTGATGGACTACTTACAAAACAATTTTCGAGAACAACAGTACAAGTTCTCTAGGCAAGTGTTTTCCTCATACACTGGAAAGGAAGAGATTCATGAAGCAGGTATGTATTGCAATATAATTTTTCTGCAACCCTCACAGATTTGATGTCATAGGAGGTAATTGTGGTACAATGGAAAATATACAGGACTTAGAGTTTTAATAATATTTTGATTATTAGTTTTGTAGCTTTAGGTATGCTGTTCTTTGAACCTTAGTTCTTTGAATGTTAATTCTTTGAATCTTAGTTACCACATCTGTGAAATAGCAATTAGAAAATCCATACTTCCCCACATGAATAAACTCATTTTACAGATGGGAAAAACTGAGATTCAATTTTAAAAAGTGATTTTTCTAGAACATCCAGTAATATGAATAAGTAGCAAAGCTACATACATACCTCCTAATTCACTTGATGGCATGGCATTTGCCTGGCTAAGAGCTATGAGAAAGAAATGAGTAAGAGGATGAGGTGTTCAGAGCTTGGGGAGATCACTACTGGTTGAGATGATTAGGGAACCTTCATAGGAGAACCATATTTGAACTGAGTCTTGACACATTATTTAGGTTTTAAAGTGAATTATTAGTGAATTAAAAAAGAATCTTCTTCCCAGTTTCCTTCTTTGGGGGAAAAGAGGTATGTTCTCGTTAGGTGCAGCCAGTGGAGATGACGCCAGTCGGGGAGTCTCTGGAGTGCCCTCTGTGTCTTTTGAAGCTGACAGATCAGTCAAAAGCCTTTAAAAATGTTCAGAGGACACAGTCAGACACATCTACTGATTTGTCCTTTTCAGTTTATATAGCAGTTGTGCTGGTTCATGAAAGACATAGTTGAAGCGGCCTTTGTTTGGGGACTTACATTCTTTCAAGTAGATGGTCTTCTTTCATCTCAGCCCTGCAATGAATTTTTTTGCCATGTGTAATATTAATTTAATAATCATCCACTTTTGAACGTTAGGCATTAAAACAACATGCTTTTATATTAATGTGGTATTTGTGAAATTGTTTATCCTTTAGCAGAAAAAAAGAGTTCAAGACAACAGTGATAAATAGCTATATTTAATATGATATTAAGTTTCAAATTAAATTTCCCTGAAGCGAGGCAATTTAATTATATTTCTACCAGCACTACTAAATACTATAACATCCTGTCTGGTAAACAATAGACAATTGATTAGAAAAAAGAAAGTGAATTTAATAGTCTTTTTTTCTCAAATAATAGATCAAATAACAAATTAAATGATTATGATTCTTTCTTGTCATGTACTTTTTACCAATTATATTTTATTAAAACCCTTCAGTGGCACTTCATTGCTTTTAGAATAAAATCCAAACCACTTGTCATTGCAATGGTAAGTTCTATATAGTATTTACTAGTCTTAGTGCTACCTTCTCTCCAACTAGCATCCTTCTCTCACATTGAATTCCATGAAGTCCCCTAAAGATGGAAGACCACATTCTTCCATGTTGCATTTGTACATGTTGTTTCCCCCTGGTGGCATGTTCTTCCCTGCTGTCTTGACTTCACTTCCCTGCCTCCTTCTCATTCTTCAAGACTCTAGTAGGGCATTGCATCCATGGGGAGGCCATCACTGACTCTGCCTCCATCCTCCCAGGTCTGGCTCTGGCACCGGGCACAGGACTGCACACTCGAGGCACCATACCTACAGAGTACATGGCAAATGATGCTTATCTGGAGTTGTGCGATGTGCCCGGGTGCTCTAAACTTCATAGAAGTCACCATAGAATGGCAATTGTCTGTTTACTCATTGTCTCCCCGACCAGACTCTGAGCCTTGCAAAGAAAGTAATTAAGTTGTTGATCTCTTTACCTTCATTGCTGAACTAAGGTAAAGTTCTCATTCACTAATATTCACTGCATGACTGAAAGAATCCATTTCCATATAATAAAAACATAGGTCATGCTTGATGTGTGCTTCAAAAATGGTAATAGCTGCCATGCATTGTGTGACTTTACCAGGAATTGAACCATACAGTATTTGATTTAAACTTCATATCACTTTTATTAAGTTAGCCTCATTTTTCAGTTTGGGAAGCTGTTTTTAAATGGCTTGCCAAGTTTACACAACCAGAAAGGGATGGAGTTGGTATTTGAACCCAAATCTCCCTGATACTAAAGCCTTCCAAAGTTCTCTCCACTGTGCTTTATATTTATAAAGAAACATGATTTCTGCTTATATAATTTTATCATAAAAACTGTTGACCTTAAAGACATGAAACACCAAAAAAATAGTATTGGCTTTTGAGTGCTTTATTTATCCTGAGGTCAAACACAGGAACAACACTTTCTAAACTACTTGGTGTTTTGTGTTATATAAATATAACATATGATGTATGATGGCACCTATAAAGTAAGGAAAGCAATTTTCTTGAATGGAGCCTATGGGAATCAATATTATTCTCTTAGACCAGGTGTGTATTTCAGAATTTCACATTCCTGCTGCAACACTATTATGACTGCCAGAGTAATAATAATGCATCACCTTTTTGTGGTTTGGGTCCAGAATAATTAAAATGGCAGAAATAACAAGAAAAAAATAAAACCCTCAAAATAGACTCACTCATTTAAGTCAAAGGAACTTAAAATGCAAAATTTAAGGAGAAAAACAGAAGTTTTACAATAAAAATGGACATTCAATGGCTCCTTTGGCTGTGTGCTTAGTCCTACATGTGCCCCCTTCC